TGTGTGTGTGTGTGTGTGTGTGTGTGTGTGTGTGTGTGTCAATGAGAGTCAAAATGAAGCGTTTCCCTGTCAGGCTCCCTGGCACTCTCAGAGCTGTGTTTGTGCCAGGGTAATATTATAAGTGGATGATTTGCAGCGATATTTAGAGCAATGAACGCTGAAGGCTGTTCTGTGTAAATATTAAATTCACTAAACTCGGGGAACAGAGTTTAATCTTGAATGTCATATTTTTTGTAATCATTTTTGTTTTAATGATTTATGGCTCTTTTTTTTGCACATATCACACGTTTCGGGGTTTAGTTAACAATTAGTTGTTTTCTTACAGGGAGCTGTGTAACAGTGCTGATCACTACACTGAATACTACAAAGATGGGTGCTTGCTGGTGGTTCTCTTTGTCAGCGCATCCTTTGCTAGAAAACTGCAGCTGACTGACAGACTGACAGTGGCTGATTGCTCCGTTTTGGTTTTCACGTGAAGTCGCTCCTTCTCACTAATCAGCAGGTCTCTCCAGTGATCTTTTTTTGTTTCCTTTTCTCGCTGATGCAGTGATGAATGGCTTTGTCAAAGTCACCCCCCTTCCCCCATCCTCACCGTCGTCCCGTCAGCAGGTTAATAACTAGTGTTATCCATCGGGGTGGGAGGAGGGACAGCGAAGGGGGGGGAGGGGGCATGTTCTTGACGTCATACATTATACTCTGAGGTTTCACACACACCCAACCCTGAATGACGGGACAGGCTTCTGCTGTCAACGATTGGCTGCTTTAAAACACACAGGTGATAGTGGCGAAAATGGGTGGAGCCTAAAGGTTTGTGGCGTCCTGATGGTTATAAATATAATAAAGCGATAAACACGAGGAGGTTGTTGCGTGGCATCCCCCCCCCCCAAAAAAAAGAAACATTACCCTGTTGTCTTTTTATTGTTTCCCCTCCCCTTATCTATGCCTTTGTTTTCAGGTGTTGCCAGCAAACCCAGAGGAGTCGTGGCAGGTGTACAGTTCAGCCCAGGATAGCGAGGGAAGGTGTGTCTGCACTGTGGTGGCACCCCAGCAGTCCATGTGCTCACGAGATGCCCGTACCAAACAACTGAGGCAGCTGCTGGAGAAGGTAATTATCACCTAACTCCTCCCCAGCCATCAAAAGTCATACAGTGTGACCCAGGGGACCCACTGTTACTTCCTCTGACCTTTTGTCACGCACAAAGACATCCATAGAAACACACACACACATATATATGCTCATGTTTGTGACCTTTTGCCTGCTGGACAAGAATAGAAGTCATGCTCTAATGAGCTCACGAAAACCCAAGGCATCACAGGAGGCAGCTTATTTGTAAGTAGATGATATCTAATGATGCACTCAGCTGAGTGCCCATACACTGGGAGCTTCCCCCATTTTACAGAAGCACATTCATAGAACCCTGCAGGTTAAGTTGCTCATTCATATACTGTAGCAGCAGCACTACAGTTACAGTTACTGACAACAGCAGATTCCTCCTAATGAATAAAAGATGAGCCATGTTTCTGGACCACATCAGATCTGGAGAAAACAAATGTCTGAACAGTATGAATCCTACACTTGCGCCATGTGTCTGAGGCCCCTGACTAGTTGGCCTGATGTCAGAGTTTGTGAATCACTACGAGACGAACGCCAAGCCGAACGCAACATATTGTAAAGTCTGTTGCCTTTTCTCTGCGTCTCCTATTCTAATTACAATGCAGACTGAGATTTTTTCTTCAACCACTCTTGCTCATTCGTACAGGTCCAGAACATGACCCAGTCCATCCAGGTGCTGGACCAGCGCACCCAGAGGGACCTGCAGTATGTAGAGAAGATGGAAGTTCAGCTTCGTGGTCTGGAGACCAAGTTTAGGCAGGTGGAGGAGAACCATAAGCAGAACATCGCCAAGCAATACAAGGTAAAAGATCTACTTCTCGAGCCATCGATCCAAGCGCCATTCCTTCATAGCTGCTTCTTTAGCTTACCCATTTCGTGTGTGAGTGTTTCCACTGTGGAGAGAACTCAGAATTGCCTAAATCACCATATTGCATCCCAAGAAATCTGCATGGATAATTAAAGAGGCAAAATAAATCGATACACAAAATGCCATAATTCATTAAAAAAAAATCACGTTAAATAGAGAATCTGGGCTTGGAGGAGATTTAAGAAGATATCTTACATGAATTACAGTCACTGTGAACGATGGGCACAAAGATCTCTGCACACTGGGACAAACCTCCTTGACAACATCTAGTATACACTAAACCCTCCAAGGAGATTTTCTTTAGGGTTTCGTGTCCACATGTTAATGAACCTTTTTTTGCAAACAGGGTAGAGGAGTGTTTGATGCAAGTTTTTACTAGATTTTACTAGAGCTTTAGGGATTTATCGTGTCTTTATGTCCTGTCTTCCTCCCCTCAACCCCCAACCGGTCTCAGCAGATGGCTGTCCATCCCTGAGCCCGGATCTGTCGGAGGTTTCTTCCTGTTAAAAGGGAGTTTTTTCTTCCCGCTGTTGCCATGTGCTTGCTCATAGAGGGTAGTCTGATTGTTGGGGTTTTCTCTGTATTATTGTAGAGTCTCTGCCTTACAACATAAAACGCCTTGAGGTGACTGTTATTGTGAATTGGCACTATATAAATAAGACTGAATTGAACTATAATTGATGACTGTTGAGTGGGGAATCTCCATAATTTTAAAGTAATCATCAGTTTTGACATCTATTGAGCAACACATAAGTGATAACAGGTCTACATTTTTAAAAAAAGGTCACAAAAAAATTCAGTGCCACCTCTGATTATGGAGTATGGTTAACACCCAGCCCTGTTTGCAGTTACTGAGACTAATTCAAGCGTGCCTGTGTTCCTACAGCTGTTCATACCATCACCACCTGCACTGCTGCAATCCTGTCAATCATGCATGCTCAGCAGTCCCGTGCTGCCAGCGCCTTTCAGTGCATGTGTGCAGTTTTTTTTTCTGTAACATGTCTTAAGTGCATATACTAAGTGTGTTTGTCTGTGTGTCTGTTAGATAGGTTAGCAAGCTCTAGCCCCTGTCAACAGTTTGTCATTTTCTTGCTTGCAGGGCTAACTTTAAGACATGTAAAGAGAGCCACAGGTGAAGAAGAGGCAGGTCAATTCCAGATTCCCCTGAACTGGGCCACAGTACTGAGAGCATTTGGGCGTCAAACAGTTAATTTACCTTTAGCACCATTAAGACTAAGAAACCCCACCCTTCTCCCAAACCAACCCACCACTGATCTCTTCCTGCATGTTACTGCTGTCAAAGTTTTCCATCTAAAAGCTTTTTTAAAACGTAAATACATAATTATTATTATTATTATTAATTGCTGTTTTTCATTTTATTTTCCTTTGGCTTTTGTCAATGCATATTTGGTTATTCAACAAATCTTTACGTAAAAACTATAGACGTACAATTCGAGACACTTTGTTGTGTGTGACATGTAAAAGCATGTAACCCTTAATACGATGTTGCATTTTAAACGATGATGACCAATAAAGAGCTTTCCCAATTGTTGTCGGTGTACCGAGGGCTTGCTTTTTATCGGCTGGTCACTTTCCGGGACGGAGCCACCTGCTCTGCTCGTCACAGCGGGTGGAGAGTATTTTCTGGGTTTGTCCGCTCAGACACACACCTGCACAAACAGAACACCGCAGCTCACGCGCACAGAACACAGGACACGGAACACGCAAAAGCAGGGGGCGGGGGTCGCGAGATGAGAAAAGAGGCAGGATAGAGTTAGAGTAGTCAGGTTCAGACAGGTGTTTTGGTTTATTTTCCCCTTCTTTTCTTTTCTTTTATGGACAGCGGGCTCTCCTTTTTGCCGCGCATGACACTCAACCGAGCTTATTCTAACCCTTTCAGGCCATAAAAGCGAAAATGGAGGAGCTTAGACCGTTGATACCAGTGTTGGAGGAGTACAAAGCCGATGCCAAATTGGTATTGCAGTTTAAGGAGGAGGTCCAGAATCTGACGTCAGTTCTAAGCGAACTTCAGGAGGAGATGGGGGCCTATGACTACGAGGAGCTCCACAACAGAGTGTCAAATCTTGAGGAGAGACTCCGAGCATGCATGCAAAAATTAGGTAGGCACAGACAGTTATTGGCTGTTGGCACACACTTTGCTTCAAACACATGCATGCACAAACAAGCCCACTGACATACATGAGTACGTTGAATGGCTAGAAAGAGATCCTCAGGCATACTGGCACAATACAGAACACATGATAAGAACATCACACGTGGCTATAACGATCTACCACTAAAATTCATAATTCAGCGGTATTAAAACAACAGTGTATCTTACGGTTCTCATCTGTACGTGCTGGTCTTTTTTAAAGGCTTTATCTTGGGTCTACACTTGAAAACTGAAAGTAATCCAATAAGGAAGTCCACAACATGACTATGCATGTTCTCTGCTTTTAGTACTGTCTATAAATCCTATTCACCCTTTCTGCAAAGAAACAACCCCTGAATGGGTTTCGGGTTCCTGAAATTTTGGATTCCTTCTTTTCAACACACCTACCTTTTAACTGTTTGTTTGGGACACTGCAATCTTTTTAAATTGGATGATCAAATCAAATAGGATGCTAAAAAAATACATAATTAGACACAGCACCAACCTGCAACCTGCACGCACCCAGGGATGGTTGAGGATGACGAGAGCTACCGAGCTTCTTCATCTTTTAGTCTGCGATTTCTCATCACATCCTATCTTTTTGCTTTTAGCCCCTGTCTGAATCTTTTCACACCTCTGTCACATCCCACAGTGCTAATAGATGCACACCCACACTACACTGACTAAGATATATTACGAGAGCAGGGACACTTGCACGCGGCACATCGCGGGTATATTGTGTCCCTGTTTCAAATTATGCGCAGCGGAAGATGACAGAAAGAAAGAAAAGCTTTTGGTTATACTGGCGAAGAAAAGAAAAGAAAAAAAAGACAGTCAACATGCTCTAAAGGGATTAAGAGTGAACAAACAGACTACAAAAACACACACCTAATCTCTCATCACCAGTTGTTTCTCGTGCCATTCTTTATCTCAGCATACACTGCTCTTTTTTTCCTAGCCACATCTGCTTCCACTACCCACCAGCCTGGAGTCTTTTCTGTGTTTTCACTCCCAGTTCAATTAACATGCCACCCCTCACACATCTATGGTCAGGCTGCCAAAGATAGGAGAGTAGGGACCAGCGGGAGTGACTAAGTGTGTGTGTGCGTGCGCAAGATCAGATGAGATAAAGGTGAGGTCACGCAGCGAGAGACTGGCTCAGGCAGAACAGAGGGTGGCTATTCCTTTCATCTTCACACGATTGCAGACGCACTCATGCGTAGTGCAACCAAATACAGTCCGGTACACTTGCATTACTTAGATTAAGCTTGCGAAGGTCACTCGCAGCATTTGCATCTGAATAATAACATTGAGAGGAAAAAAAATAGAGCAAAGTTTTTAACAGACAGGAGACTCTAATACAAGGTGGTATTGGGAAGGAGACAGAGAGAAAGAGTGATAAAGTGAAGGCGAGTGGGAAAAGTGAAAGAGAGTAACTAGGGTCCCCGCAGAGCTGTCCTTCAAGCTGTTTTGTGCTGGAGAAAGTAACAGCCCAACGGCTGCCGGGACACAATGGCCATCGATCAAGAGGACATGCCAGCTTGCTGGGCAATAATCAAATAAATAAATCACCTTGTGTTGTGCCCCAGCACTGTGGAGGCACTGAGAGCTTCAGGCAAATCCAGTCTTTTCACACTGAAATGCTGATGAATGAAGCAGGAAGGTCACTCCGGCACATCAAGCCCTCTGCTACCTGCTCTGCTGCCACTGGTTTCCCTTTATATTCTGGCTGTAAAGAACTAAATTAGACTATTTCTGTCATTTTAAACAGCTCACCAAAATCACCTTCTCTCTTTTCTTTAATTAACCCTCCTCCTTTTCTTAAGACTAATTCTTAAATGAAATCTTTTTGTAATTTAGAGCGGTGGGGGCTTCTTTCCCTCTCCACACATTAAGACTAAGTGGATAGCTAATTAGTGGTTAAAATTATTACGACCAGTGTAGCTAACTGACTATATATATAAAACAATGTTATTAGCCTATTACAGCTAGGTAGCCTAAATGAACTCATAGACTTGTGAAACAAGATAACTTCTTTATGACACCTGGAGGAAGATGCTATATGTTATGATTTAGCCATACCTGCTAAACATGTGTACGAAAGAATTTCTTTACATACTATACCCATATAACATCCACCTGTGTCATACCAACCCTCGGCGTGTCCTCCTTCACTACATCCATCAGCCTGTTCTGAGGTCTTCCTTGTTTCCTCCTTGCATCAGTACATTTCTTCTTCGTTTCTCAGACATCCTCTCATGCACTTATATTTATCTGGTTAAAAGGTCCACTGCCTTCTCTCCTAGACATCTCCACACCTTCATAGGTATGTCACTCTTCACATCGGGCCTCTTTTCCTCCTTACTAAACAATAACCATCTTTCCTCATCCATCCACCCCTTTCTCTCTCAGCTCACTTTGCTCATTTGTGCATTTCCATTTCTATCCTTAATCACCCCAACATGCTGCACATCCTTTTCACTGCAGTCTCTCTACCTTGCCAAACCATATAAGTCATTTTCCTCTTCTTTAGTGTCCAGCCTCATTTACATCTCCTCCCTGAATTCTGCACAACATTCTTCCTTCTTCATCATTATCTCTACCTTCAGTCATTTCCTCTTTCTCTTTCAGATTGTACCTTCTGTGTAAGATAGTCCATGTGTGTGTACCTTCCTCCATTCCTATGTGACCTGTGCGCCTCCCTCTTGTTGAAGTACATGTTCACTGCAGCCTTTTTT